TCCAAGATTTCTTCACAGCTATGGTTGACTGGTATTCCTAAGCATTTCTTGATGATCTTCTCATTCTTCAGCTGTTGGTCCCAATCCATCAGTTGCTCTGCTGAATTTCCAACTTTCCATGCTCTCCAATCATAGTAGAGCTGCCAGAATTGGTTATCAGCATCATCCATTTGAGGTTGAGGTGAGGAGGTTGGAAGGCTTTGAACTTGAGGGATTTCTTCTTCAAGTTGTTGAGGACTCCGGTTGTGGGCAGAGGTTTCCTCAGCAGGTTCCTTCTCCTTCAACTTATCCGAGTTGACATATCCACATGTTGAGGGAGAGGAGAGTTTCCTCTTCTTCTTCCTTTGAAGTTCTCCTTGCACAGAGACTTCTTCTGCTTCTTCCACATTGACCAGAGCAAGGTTCTGTGGTGCTTCAACACTAATGGAGGGAGACACCACTTGCTTCCTTTTGGCAGTCTTCGCCATATGGATGAGTGGGACATTATCTGATGAGCTTTCCTCTGCAGTGACACTAGCACCAGTTCTGTTTTCCCCTTTTGAAGACAGATAGTATGACCAATATCTTTCTTCATACTTCTTTCCTTTAGAAGCAGCACCCATAGACTCCAAAACATGTCCAATGTAGAGACCTTGACAAAGGTACTTCTGATTGTGCTTTCCCAGATGTTTTGAGATGGATTTAAAGAAGTGTGCAGCCCAATTTACCTTAGATTGGGTAATTAGAGCGTTGATGATGAAGGCTCTCTCCTGTGTGATGTCATCGGCATGACCTCCGCTTCCACACTCGAGGCAAGCGATGACCAGTTCCAAAACTAACTTGTAGTCGTTGTTCAGATCTGCTTTCTTCGCTTGGCCAGAAGGAATTTGCCCAGAGATTCCAATGATGTTCCAGTCCAGATTTTTGACTGGAAATTTCCCAATTTCAACTCCAGAATTGGGAAGGCGAAGCTTTTCTCCCAATTTCTTCTACGAAAGCTTCACTTTTGTACCTCCAACAGTGGACTTGATGACTGGAAACGTCCTCTGTGGGTCCTTCTTTGAATGAGCAGTCTTGACCTCTCCATTTCTGTAGAATTCAAGAACTTCTTCTTCAAATTTGAGGGGAATCTCCATTTGAAGAAATTCGGAGAGTTCTTGAGCGGCTATCATCTCCAGATAGCTTTGAAAGAATGTTGGTGAAGAGCACTTGGCTTCTAACTTCTGGAAGTGAATATTAGCGCCGACAACCTTCATTTTCTCAGAAATTTGAGTGAGAATTTGAAAGAGAGAGACCTAGGGTTCTTGAGAGTTTTTCGCGAAGAAGACGACGAAAAATTTTGAATAGGCGGTTTAGATCTGAATAGTGGCGATTGGGTTTTATTTGGGCGATTTGCGCGGCTGGTGGCGATTGGGTTTTTGACTATTCCCAAGGCCACGTGCCTACCCACTATATTGACAGACGTGGAAAGTGGACTGCCACGTGTACCGCACTCAGTCTAATTGAATTAGACCAATTTTGTGGAGTAAACCGGAAAACTTGGCTTCACTTAGTGGTTTAGTGAATATATCCGCTAGTTGTTCTTCAGTTGAGATATACTCGATTTTGATATCTTTCTTTTCCACATGATCTCTGATGAAGTGATGCTTGACATCAATGTGCTTAGTGCGAGAATGATGCACTGGGTTTTGAGAGATGGCTATAATACTTTGATTGTCACAAAAGATTGTCACTTCCTTTGTTTTGACTCCATAGTCTAGTAGTTGTTGTTTTAGCCACAGAATCTGAGCACAACAACTACCAGCAGCAATGTATTCTGCTTCTGCTGTTGATGTAGAAATGGAGTTTTGTTTCTTACTGAACCAAGAAACAAGATTTCCACCAATGAATTGACAGGTACCAGATATACTTTTCCGGTCAACTTTGCATCCGGCAAAGTCAGAATCTGAGTATCCTACTAACTCAAATGAATTGCCCTTAGAATACCATAAACCCATGTTCTGAGTTCCTTTGAGATATCTAAGAATCCTTTTAGCTGCTATCAGATGACTTTCCTTTGGCTTTGACTGGAATCTGGCACAAACAGCTACTGCATATGAGATATCCGGACGGCTTGCAGTAAGGTAGAGTAGAGATCCGACAATTCCTCTGTAGAGAGTTTGATCTACATCCTTTCCATCTACATCTATATCAAGCTTGGTGGATGTACTCATGGGGACTGAAACGGATGACTTCTGATCGACTTTGAATTTCTTGATAAGATCCCTTGTGTACTTGGCTTGGTTGATGAGAGTCCATTCACTTCTCTGTTTGATTTGAAGGCCAAGGAAGTAGTTGAGTTCCCCCATCATGCTCATCTCAAATTTTCTTTGCATGAGAGTTGAGAACTTGGTGCAGAGATCTTCCTTAGTTGAGCCAAATATAATGTCGTCCACATAGATTTGGACCAGTAAGAGATCTTCTCCATCTTGTAGTTTGAACAATGTCTTGTCAATGACTCCTTTGGTAAATCCATTGTCTATAAGAAATTGAGACAATGTATCATACCAAGCTCTTGGGGCTTGTTTGAGTCCATATAGCGCCTTTTTGAGCCTATACACTTGATCTCCCTTAGTGTGTAACTCAAATCCTGGAGGTTGTTCCACATAGACTTCTTCCTCGAGGTTTCC